CCAGGAACTGTCTTACTTATAACTACATCACCAGCACTTGGCTCAGTCCCTAGCATGTCACTGGGTCTCAATTTAGACTTCTTTTCATGGATAAATGAACAAATAATTATAAATCAAGTGATAACAGTAATATTCCATTTAATTTCATCCTACTTTTCTTTCAGAGGTTCTGTGATTGATATTTTGGGTCTCATCCTTTTTCACTTCTGTGATTTTTCCATGGGTTACCTTATATTTGGGGATTTATGACCCTTGAGACCCAGTAAATATTTTAAGTCATCATAATACCTTAAATTCATATACATAGAGTCTTCAGTGTGCCTTAGTGTGTATTAACTTTATTCAATGATTAGAGTCATCACATGCTGACTTTGAATAAATATTTAGAAATCTACACTTAATGTGACTAACATACAGTGCATCCAACCAGCCAGATCCATTTATCTAGACATTACTTGTACCTTATTCATGAGGAAATTGATTTCCTTTACTAACTGTGGAGACTGTGTTTTAGTCCAGGTACAATAGGCCAAAGAGCCTTCTCAAACTCCTCCAATATAATTATTTCCTGCCACCAACTAACTAAGTGGCACACCCATTCACTAGATGAGAATGCATTCCAGCAGCCAGCAAAGTGGATTCTTCCTGGCTTTCATTTTATATGCCTAAAGAAAACCCCTTGCAGAGGAACAGGAAGTCTGTGAAAGCATCATAGGGAATCTCAACTGAATACTCTCATTTTCTTTCTATACATTTATAAAGAGGCAGAGACTATAAGGAAATGTTGTCATCATTCCTATCTCCTTCTGAGGCATAGAAAATAGCTGTGGCTCTTGATTTATTATTACACATGCAACATTTCTCTTTACAGACTTATGATATGTTAGTTCAACTAGTTTAAAAGATTTGATTAGGAGAACCTTCTCCATTTGTACCCCACCCTTAATTTTTTTCTTATCTGGCTGCGTGTCATATGATGAGAACTACCAGAATTGTGAGAAACCAAAGGCTTCCACGCACCCATTAGGAGAAGGATGAGAAGTTTTATTCAAAGCATATGGGTGTTGGGATTAACCAAATCTAAGAACCAGAGAGTTTGCTGTGCGTGGTTCAGGGATGCCATTACTCTCTAAATACCTCTTGTTAGAATGTAAATGCGTTAGATCAATCCAGAAATGCTGTTCTTGATGCAAAAAGTAAAGACCTACGTCGACAAGATCACGCTAAATAAAGGAAAGCTAACTCGTGTTTTTGTTAAATATCTACAAATAAGTTAAATATTGTCCTGATGCTCATGTGTGTTATTATAAATTGCTTAACTGACATCTCAATTATGGCATTCCTTGGAAATGATTCTCATTTATGCAAAATCAGTTATATTTCACAACCCTACATAAAACCTCTATGAAATAAAGCTTTTTTTTTTTCAACTGTAAAAGCTTTGTATCTCTAAGCACAACTTCTTTTGTTTATGTCCATTCAGTTGAAGGGAAGGGGTGAGGCCTCTCAGGAAAGTGAAACCCATAGTGACTTCTGTTCCTGACTCCTTCCTGATGAGCCATTTTCTCTTTATCAACCTCAGGGGCTCCTTCTAACCCTCCTACCCATGTTTTTCATTATGAAAAAGCCTTTAAGTGAATTCATTCTATAAATATTTATATATACCAAGCACTCTTCCAAGCACTGGGAAATAACACTGAACAAGCAGATAAAAATCCCTTCTCTCATGGGATGTGCATCTTAGAGCCCATGAGAGGATGGTGGCACAAAATCTAACACATACGTTCAGATGAATATCAAGGGCAAACTCAATACGTATTTTTAGTTGTTTTGTTCTTTTTGTGGAATCCCATCAGGGCTTAAAACCACTTAACGTTACCCCTAATTCTAGTGTGAGGAGACAAATATTAAATAATATAAATAACTTAAATATTTGATAATAAGATGTTGTGTTCAAAACAAAAGTGTGATGGAGGGATGGTGTGTAGGAATGTTAAATTTCAAATTGAATGACCAGGTGAGACTTTACTGAGAAGATAGCATTCATCTAAAGATCTGAAGGATGTCAGTTAACCAGTCATTTTAAATTTGAGTTTCTTACACTAAATTAAGTGGGGAATTTTAATAAATTTCAGCCCAGGTAGCCAGGTGGAAAACTATAATTAATTAAGTAATGAATTACTATTCTAATTTATTAATTAACTTGTTGGTAATTTATCAGACAGACCTCTGGAATCATCTCAGTTCATGACTACCCATGGGCGGTAAGGGGTAGGCCATGTTAAGGAAAGGAGAGAGCTCAGGGGGCCAGTTAAGAAGCTATCACAATCCAAGTGAAAGAGAAAGAATCTGAATGAAGACACTGATATTTTTCCAAAATGACATTTTCCCGAAGTAATCTGGTTTCTGGCCTTTTTTGTGTTCTTTCATTGCTCCTTACTACCTTTAGAATAGTGCCCAAACCTCTTTGTTTGACATTGAAATCCTTTCAAAAATTGGCTGCTTACTGGTTTGTCTAATAGGTGTGTCTGTATTCCAATAAAACTTTATTTACAAAAATAGATTGTGGGCCAATGTTTACTGCAGTCAGCTGTTTGCCTACCCCTGGTCTACTTTATGGAACTCTTTCATTCTCAGCACATGGCTTCCATTCTAAAAGTTATCTCACTAGTATCAGAAACTGCTGAATTCACAGCCAGTATGTCAACATTCCAGGTAAGAAGTTGGAGGAAGGGAAAAAAGATTAAAAGAGCACTTGCTAGCTCTTTCCTCAAATAGAACCTTCCTATATAGCTCACCCAACATCCACTTACATCTCACTGGCCACTTCTTCGTGCAAAGAACCTGAGGAATATAGCTGTTTAGATGGATATATTTTCATTTAATAAAATTAGGGTTCTGTTACCAAGGAAGAAAGAAAGAATGGATATTGGGTGGGTTTCTAGGAGTCTCTGTCATATCTATCAGATTTTAATCACCCGGTGTCAGTTTCTTCATTTGTCGAAATGGAACACTATTAGCACCTCACAGAGTTGTTTGGTGAAGGTTGAATGATCCAACACAGGAATGCTGTTAGGAGAATGCCAGGCATACTGTAAGCTCTCAATAGAACTGACGCATTGTTGGAATTAGCCTTATTTTCGTCTTTTGTGTGTTTTGATCTTTGTTGTATTTCCAGTGCCTAGAATGCTTTCTAGCACATAGGAGATCAATAAACACTTTTTCTTTGAATGAATAAATGAACCACCATTATCATCAGTTTAGATTTTTAGATAGCAGGCAACAGAAACTGATTCTGGCCCACTTAATCCCTTATTAAAATAATGGTACTTACTTCTAGAAGTGACAAGATACCTGGAGAGTCAGACTCAGACAGGGACAGGTATCCTATGATTGCTGTAATCATTTAGACCAGAGCTATTTTCACACTGTGCTTGAATAACTCCACTCAACATTTAAAGCCCCATGAGATGGAGTCTAATGATCAATATGTGACTGAATCATCTGTCTCCCTTTGGATAGGAGAGAACGGAACACCTTTTTTTATAGTCCCACCAAAATGGCATGTAACTGGAGAGGAGCAAAGAATTAGGATGAAATCCATGTGAAGGATGAAATCAGCAGGATGTTTGTGTTGCTTCCACAAAGTCATGGTTGTGATGTAAGTGCATCCCCTGGGAAGAAAAAAGACCTAGCAATTTGGCCTCTGTTAATGCATCAGTATCTGCATTTTTTTCCATTTAAAAAGCCAGCTACCACCTTGTAAAACTGATTGCAGGAACCCTGAAGAGATGAGACCAACAAGAGTTTTTTTGGTTTTATTTCTTAAGCATAAGATGACAGAATATGGCAGTGAGGTTGTGGGATTGATAGAGAACAGTAAATAGATATCAAAAAAAGGTTAGGCACTAATGCCAAATACAGGTACCATGCCTTTAGGTAATGACATCTGTATGCATAATCCTTCCAGTCATTTAATTTCACAAATTATCTAAGTAATTTTTTCTAAATATTTTAGTTTCTATAATGATTACAGTGCCAGTCTGCTTTGTTACTGAGCAATTGATTACCGTCTCTGATAAAGTGTTGAAACCAGATGGCTTTTCATTTTGTTTGCCTTTTCAGATGTAGCAGTGAATGTAGGTCCATGACAACCTAGGGGTTTATTTTTAAGCATGATTCACAGTAGTTCCATCTACTATCATTATGAAAGTCTGTCAGACATTTGGAATTGCTTTAATTTGGTAAATTTTACTGAGATTTTTATAGATGGTAAAATTAAAATTATTGGGTTTTTTTAATTGTTAGGGGAAAAAAAACCCAATTTATATAACCTGCCCAAATTGATTTGCATAATTGCAAATATATGTGCTACCACTGATGACCATTCCAAACCATTGTTGGAAAGCTGGTAGACTAGCAGACTGTATATTTAGGGAACTTTAGAGCTTATTTAGCTTCATTTAATAATCTGGGTCTAAACATAACATTTGTTTAGATATTAAAAAATTGATAAGTTTAGATTGATAAAAATGACACCCTTCTTTGCTCTTGGAATGTGGAGTTTAAAAAAACTGAACAAAAAAAAAGTCTACTTGTATGAAACTAGACCTTATAAAATTTTCTTCACACTGTATTTTTAATGATATTTCTTCTATGATTTGGTGTTAGAAAATGTGTATAAAATGCCATTAGAGTGAGCAATTAAAGATTATTATGCAAAATAGAATAACTGACATATATTATTTAGGGATTAAAAATCTTTAACATTCTATAACTTGTCAATTTTTTTCTTTGTTTAATGATACTAATCTTTCAATCTTTCTTTTTCTTTCTGCAGTGCTTTAATACGTTATTGAAACTACAAACCCATATCCACAGTGGTCTCATGTTGACAGATTGCGTATTTTGAAAGCTTGAGGTATTTTATAATGAAACATGCCATGTGGAAACTTTGAAGCATAAATTCTGCCAAATATCTGAATAAAGAATTTCTCACCTGGTATGTAAGAAATCTCCTCACCACCACCATGACAAACCAGGAAAAATGGGTCCATCTCAGCCCCTCAGAATTTTCCCAGCTACAGAAATATGCTGAATGTAAGTATTCACATTGATAATATGATTTGACTTGGTATTTGTGCTCAACAACGTAATTATTTACTTACCAAAACAGATTATAAGTCCCATTCAGCATTGGGATAAATACAGGTGTGTCTTTTGTGTTTTCAAGTAAGTGAACTTGAGGCTACCAGTTTGGTATGAGAAAAAGGAAAAGGTAAACTTAAATCGAACATTAGATCTCAAAGAAAAAGAAGAACTTTAGATGCAAAAGTGAACTTGGAAACACTCCCGCTGTAATAGATGTGAAGCAAAGGATAAGATAGTTTGGGAGAATGGAGACTTGTGAGTCTGTAACCAAGAAGAAGGATAAGCAGAAGTAAGGGGAAAAGTGAGATTTTTTTTTTTCCTGCATAACATTTCAAAAAGATTGGGAGTAGGGAGTCATAGATACATCATGGCATTGAAATTAGAGGTTGTAAGAGAAAGAGAAGGTGTAGGATCTTACACCACGTTGTTTAGTGTGGGTATTGATACAAAAGATAGGGCATGGTGATTCACTTTATAGTATGCAATTTTTAAATATGGTAAGCTTCTTTACACATAAACAGTAAAATTGTATTTATTTATTGTTTTTACCATGGATTTTCAAAAATACATCTGTTTCACAAATTGAGTTTCAACAATAAATATGGGTAGCAACTGTGTCAAGGTATTGAAGAGAGAAAATGAGGCAACTAATAAATAGGAGGGAGCAAAAGGCTGGGAGCACGATGAGTAGAGAAAAAATAATATGCAGGGAATGTAATAAGCATGGTGAGTGTTAGAGAATAAAATGCAAGAGGTGGAAAGCAAAAAAAGAACCAATAGCACGCAATAGTGAAAGAGGCAAAAACTGGAACAGCTGGAGATGCTTAGGCAGAGAATTGGGTCATGTAGGAGAGAAGTGTCAGGAGTGAATTAAATCATATTCTGAAGAGGCAGAGAAAAGGATTAAACTCAAATGGAGGATTGGAATAATAAGAAATAGATATGTGAGTGAATAATAACACTCACATTTACGGGGTACATAGTATAAGTCAGGAACATTAATAAACAGTGTATATCATCTGAAGAGGCCAATTTCATAGGTTTTCCAGACTTTTCCTAACTGGAGAGCTGAAGTGTTCTGGGTGAGGTTATCAGAGTGCTGGTGGGTATTTGTAAGGAAGATGCAAACCCATGTAACCTGTAAGTTTTCTCCATCAATAATAATAAAAATACAGCAACTATCAAATGGAGGGGAGAATCAGAAATTGTTGACATCAAAATGTGGTCCTTATACTGAAAAACTGTTTTGAGCCACTGAAAGCACAATTCATCTACTTATCACATGAAGACACTTTATCCCAGAATGGCTGAATTCTTGTCTGCATGTTTATACTCAGTGATTTCTAAACTGGCTAAAAAATGATTTACCTATGCTTTGTAATTTCTATATGCTCTTTACTGTTGTGATATATCCAATAATTAAGTAAATATTTCTGAACATCTTCTTTAGGGAGAGTATTCTGCTTGGCACTGTAGGAGATGCAAATATGAACAGATATGGACCCTCCCTTTTTGGAATTTACAGTTTAATGAAGGCTAGAAACTAACGGATAAACAACTCTAGGATAAACGACATCTAGGTAATATCTAAGTGCTACAAGCAAAGTTTAGGGATCTGTAGGGCAGTAGTATGCAGCTAGAGATGGAAAAAGGGAAGGCTTCATGGAAGAAGTAGAATTTGAAATGAATCTTAAAAAATAGATTCATGGTAAATGCAGAAAAAATGATATAAATTAAAAGAAAAATTTAGCATATATTTGAGGAAGTGGGATGAGCTACATTTAGCCACGCTACAAATTAAGGGAGTAAGTGGAGGTAAGGCTATAAAAATGAGATAGAATTTAAATATACAATGCTCAACCTGAGTTAGGCAGTGAAGAGTAATTGTAGAATGTTAAGCGTAGGACGACATGAACAATGCTATGCTCCAAGAAGCTTAATTTACAAATACAAAAATAGTATATGTGACAAAGAGACTGAAATTAGGCCAGTGGGCTACTGGAATAGACTAAAGACAGTGGATGGAGAATGATGACCAGAAAAGCATAGATTCAAATATTACATCATTAAGACTAGTGGAAGAGAACTTGGGCAATAATAAAATATGAGAATTGAGAGAGAGAGAGAGGCAGAAAGAGACAGTTCTAAAATTTAGCTCTAAAAATTTGACTTGGAGGACAGGGGAATTTGGTGACATAATCTCCCAAGTAAAATAAACATAATGGTTTTGTTTAGATTATGCTGAATGTAGCTGGATCATTAAAATATATTTTCCAGTGTTCGGGTACTTACAGGAAACATGCCTGTGGAGGCACTAGTATAAAATAGATAAATTATTGCCATAATAGCTAAATTATTATTTACAGTAACTTTTGCTCAAATATTCAAATTGCATTTGAACTGATAAACAGAATTTAGTACTAAAGTATTAAATATATTACAGGCTGCTACTTTTATTTTATTGGCTAAGGAATATGGAGGTACATTTAATTATATCATTAAAATGCTTGATTTAGTAATAGATTTGCAGAAATACCTAAGACAAGTGGTAAAAACAATTGTCATAAATGTAAAAGTTCCAACCTCTTGAGACAAAGATTAATGGGCATTCAATAAGTTGGTAGTGAGTAGTGACACAGTGAGTATAAGAACATGGTTAAAATGGATCTTATGAGAAGACATGTTAACTGTGAAGGAGATAAATAGTGCTGATTCCATGATCATTAGACTTGCTACTCTTTTTTAAATAACCAAGACAACAATGAAGAGTGTTAGACCGAATCCTCTAAGAAGTTTCCTGTATAATTAAATAGCAAAGAATATTATGATTAGGATGGATCTTTGTGTAATAAATTGCCATTGTCATAACAGAAAACAAACTTATTATCCTGAAGATTATAAAAGTGGTATATTTTCCATGCTATTCAGTACGTGTGATCAGTTTATCAGCAGCATTTAAGGACCAGATTTTTCATGTTGCAACACAGTGTTGGCAAAGTGACATCCCTCTGTAGTCTTTTAGAAAAGTGATATATTAGATTTTAATTGTTTTGTAACTTTCAATAAGAAATTGTTTATATGTATTAAATGACTAAATTTTAAAAAAGTTATTAAGTTTAAATTTGCAGCATGCTAAGATTATATGTGATATATTTCAAATAAGTGTTCTATATGCTTTTGGGGAATGGGGTGGGGTCGTTGAATTCTTGGTTGAGATGAATGAGTTCATGAAACCCCTACCCCACAAAACCAAATCATTCAATGTTGGACTTAGATAATACCATAAAGATCTTTTTCTCAAGTTATCTGATCTTGAGTTCTCTCCACAAGTGCCACAATATATCGTGTCATATTCTGTTTAGGCTGCTATAACGAAGTACCATAGACTGGGTGACTTACAAACAACAGAAAACTATTTCTCATAGTTCTGGAGGCTGGAAGTTTGAGATTAGGGTGCGAGCTTGGATTCTGGTAAAGGTCCTCTTCTGGGCTGCAAACTTCCAACTTCTTGTATTCTCACATGGTGGAAGGAGCAAGAGAAGAGCAGCAAGCTCTCCTGGGATTCTTATAAGGGCACTAATCCAGTTCATCAGGGTTCTACCCTAAGAACCTCATCTAATTCTATTTACCTCTCAAAGATCCCTCATATAGCGAGGTACGGTTTCAACATATGCATTAGGGGAGACACAAATTTTAGTCCATTACACCCTGTAACTATACATATTGTCTCAGTTTCTAGGCTTTCCTCATAATTAATTGGGGGGAAAAATAGAGGGACGTTGGCACAGCATTCCTGGCTAGGCAGGTAGCACATCAGACAGCTGTGTTCAAATCCTGGTCCTACCATATTTTCGATGTCTGACTTTCAAAAGTTATATAACATCTCTGTGTCCCAATTTTCATACTTGTACAATGGGAAAAATAATAAATATGTCGAATGTTGTAAGGATTAAATTGAATGAGTTAATATATGTCAAGTAATGAGAACAGTGCCTGGTGAGTTGCAAGTTATATAACTGTTTACGATTATTATTTTAATAGAGAGGGAGTGAGTGTGTTATGTTGGCTGTTTGAACATATTGTTGATGATCAAGTTAAAAAGTGCTGCATTTTAGAGCATTAAAGAGCCAGTGTCTTTTTTTCTGCTATAAGACCACATTCTTCCCACAAGGTAGACGCTTCTGGTGCTGTTGGCAGCCTCGGGTCTGTGTTGTCCCCACAAAGGCTGAAGGCAGCTCATGTGAAGCCTGCTGTGGCTGCCTCCAGCGTGCTGAGCCCATGCTCCTGTTTAGGGTTTCGGGCTGAGTCCCTCTATGGGGAGCATTTCCATTGATATGTGGGAGAGGAGTATACTTTTCTTTTCCACTCTTCATAAAAAGTCATCCAAACTGTTGTGATAAGACGGACAGCTCTCACTCCTGCCGTGTAGAGAATTGAGCTTATCACATTATTAGTTTGTCGTGGCTTCCTGGAATCTCTTCACGGATAACAATATTTTCTATGTAAAATCTACACAGTATTTCTAAGTGATTCATTATCTGCCCACGTATCATCACTTAGGATTAGATTTTTATTTGCTATATACAAAGCGTGTTATATAGCGTGTACATTATTTTTGAAAAATACTATGTTATTACAGTGGGAACACTTCCAAACTCTCATAAATTTCATACTGTTTATAGCAGCTGGCATTGTAGAGAGTTGCAGAATTATTTGATGACTTGTTCTTTTCACTAAGGACCAGCATGCCTAATATTTGGACCTAGTGTACAATTTCTTCCATTGAAGTGAGGCATGTGGTGTGGCTTAGTGGAAAGAGCACAGGCTTTGTAGGCAAACTAATATTCAACAGTGTTGAACCGCAGCCCCAACGTCAACTTACTAGCCTTGGGACCTTGGGAAGGTTACATGTACTACCTGTGCCTCAGCTTCCTCGCCTGGAAAAGTAG